TGAAATAGAAAAGAAAAAAGGGAGGTTTGTGATGGTTTTTCAATCTTTTATACTAGGTAATCTAGTATCCGTATGCATGAAGATAATCAATTCGGTCGTTGTGGTCGGACTCTATTAAGTACGGCTAAAGGCAGACTCTATTAAGTACGACTGAAGGCAAACCAAGTAAGTGCGGTTTCAAACAAAGGTGAAGGAAAGGTACGATCGTGGACAAGGAATCGGTTGAGATCGAAACCATATTCGTAGGACGCGTACCCAATAGCGTTTCCAGGGGCCTCATCCCGGGGGCGGCAAGCCGGGGCATCAGTARGCGRTAGGCCTATCACTCGGAGCCCYGGCGATCTACTCCTACTCTTTATTTATAGGCGGGAAATCCAATCCATACCTTGGGGGAAATACATAGCTTGGTAGACAATCCATAGCTTGGTATCCAATCACTCTACTTCAAGTGGGCTAACTCACTCATCTTTTGGGATTGGTCTTTCTTCAATGTATAAGTGGAGTAAGGTCTTTTTCCCCACCGAAAGAAAAGAAGGTTTCCATTCCCATTCCAGTAGTCAGAAAAGATCTTAGGCACCGTTGCCTACTTCGCGGGATCGCCTTACGTAGAAGGACTTGTGATCCACTCTCGGCTAAGTTTCTATGGTCGGTCCTCTCTCGATTAATAGCTAACTGGAAAGAGAATCCTCTTTTATACTTAATTAAAGATCAAGAGGGAAGTTCCTAACGTGTCCTTAGGAACGAAGGTCTGTCGAAGGTGGGCGAACGTGTCTTTCTATGGTACGCTCGGTACGCCTTGTTTCTATTGTTCTCCGATAGCTCTATCAGTGATTATTTCAAGTAGTGCTTTTTGTCTGTTACCGGATATGTATAGAAGTTTTTTTATGGTGTTCCTCTCCGGTGTTGCTGAATACACGTCACCGGTTCGACTCCTATTTATATTTAGTGGTCCATTTATTGATTGATGGGCGAATGGAGCCCGGGATGCTGAAAATGTAAAGGCCAAGGCCTCTCTCGGTTGTTGCTTTACCTGTCCTATTAGACTAGCTAGGCCCTCCTTCGGTATGTCTTGTTCCTTGGCTTCTCCTTGTTGGAATTCATGGTTGATTGTAACCTAAGGGTTGTTATATCACTGTCCTTCTGCGGGGGAGAAGGAGGGGGTGTTGCTAGCTCGGTAGGCGCACAGGCGCGGGTTCCGGTTGAAGAGTCAAATTCTCCTTCTTGTTTTTATTGTGAGAATCTTTCTCTATACTCTATATAAGATGCCATCTGTTTTCTTTACTCGTTTCCTCCTTAGCTTTGAATCTATCTGTGACTGTTCTCCTTCTTCTCTAAGGTCTGTTCCTTTGTTCCTTCTTTGTGCCTTCATTTGCTTTCTTTTGTTTGACTGTTAACTTAAGTATCTACCTTCTTCCTTTGGTTTCTTGTAGTTCTATCAGTTAGTTCTTCAATGGTTAGCTCTGCCTGAGCTGGAGTTGTCCCTCCAGCGAGAGTTGCTTTCTTCCTTGCTTGATCGGTAGGAGTTGCCGAGATAGCAGGTATTAGCTGTTAGCCGTCGGACTCATTTAAAGGAGTCCTGTCCTATCGGGCTACACTAGTCTAAGGGCAGTTGAGTAACCGATTCCTACGCTTCCTCCGCTTACCTCCGCCGCTTAACTATTAATACGTCGCTTACCCGCCTCCGCTTACCCGCCTCCGTCGCTTGTTATCTGCTTCCCTTAGCTAAAACGTTAGGCGCTAGTGAAAGCCTTCACTCTCTTATATTTACGTACACGTGGGAAGAAGACCTAGTAATTGAGTGACAGCATTCCTGGACCAATTCTATAAACAGCCAATCAGGCATATCTTGGTCCATGGGTCCAATCAATGAAATGATTCACTTACGGGACATTTGGAAAAAGGCGCAGCACTGGAACTGCTATGTAGGCTTTTGTTTATCGATGGTTCGAATCCAGCTCGTGACAACCACACTTTGATCATAGAATATCTCGGCGCCCCCGCGGGGCTCTAACAGCTGAACTTTTTGTCTATGATGCATCGAATGCCTTTGTTTTCGCCTTATCCGTTCTTGAAAGGCTAACTCCCTAGCTAGTACTCTTCTAAAGCTACCTATGAAAGATGAAGAGAGCACACCGGTGTGCTGCATCCCGTGGGAGTAATCTTACAACTTATTACTAGGGGTAACATAGATAGTCAGATTATAAGACTGGCTGAAYGGAAGGAACAGAACTACCCTTCGGTGTGCTGGATAGAAGTACTAGCCTTAGGGATTCATCTTCAGCACACAACTTCATACTAGAGATAACTCTTTATCTAAGTGTGCTGAAAGGAAACAAACAGAGCTATTAGGAAAGGAAACAAACAGAGCTTCCAACACACTGCGGTGTTATAAACTCTTTTGTTTTATTTTTGTGCTCTAACTTTTTAGTTTATTGTATATTTTCATATAAATTGATTAGATCTTCAAATCTTACTCAAGAAAAAAAAAACAAAATAAGATTTTGTTTTTGTATACGTCATATATAGTTTAAAATTTATAGTGCAAGTTTCAACTGTTTTCGTTAATTTTGAAAAATACTAATTGCATAGAATTGAACACTTCTTTTCTATATTTACTTATTTAACGTGTTATAAGTTTATAACATATAAATAACATATAATAGTTTGTATTGTGTGTAAAATTAGGGGGAAAAATGTTTCCTATATAAACTACATATCTATTTTTCGAATAGTTTGTGTTAATTATATTTATGT